CTTCCCTCTTTCATCCTTCCTCCCTCCTTCCCTCCCTTTCTCCATCACTGAACCACACCGGCTTGGCTAAAGTAGTCATTTTTTAAAATATATATTTTATTGATTTTTTACAGAGAGGGAGAGAGAGCAAGAAACATCGATGAGAGAGAAACATCGATCAGCTGCCTCCTGCACACTCCCTACTGGGGATGTGCCTGAGCAACCAAGGTACATGCCCTTGATGGGAATCGAACCTCGGACCCTTCAGTCGGCAGGCCAACGCTGAGTCCACTGAGCCAAACCAGCTAGGGCTAAAGTAGTCATTTCTTAAACATTAGTTGCAATGTGGAATCTGGAACCATACCAGTGAACTTTTGTACTCTGTTCCATCTAAATCCATTGGTTTTTCTTGCATTTTGAATGGATCTTTTACCCATACAAGATTTTGTGACATTGTGTATGCAATGGCCATTTGGGGATGTTGGTGTGCTGATTTATGTAGCTCTTCCAAATCCATCATACACTATCCAAACCCTACACTTTTTAGTATCGCCACCAAGCTCATCAGAAAAGTCTTGAAGTATGAGCAGAAGTCCAGCTCATGGCAGAAAGCATCTGAATTGACAAGTAGTCTAAAAATTCAAAATTTCACTTGCAGGTTTGCATTATTATCATTGGCTACAATACTGTTAGTTGTTATCTTTGAAGCGACAGGCTCACCTTTTTCATTTTTGAGAAAATGCCTGCCAAAGGCCAGGTCTGAAGTTGAAAAACTTCAGATTAAACACGGTTTTCCTGAAAAACGTGGGAAGTTCAGTTTTCCCATGTGCTTTTTCTTGAGACAATCATCATGCTTCAATGTGCGGCAGAAGTGATTTATTCATACTTACCACCTCATCACATAAAATATTAACATGATCTGTTCTCAAGGGTCAAGATTTAAATAATTCCATGGATAGATCCATGGCATTCTGAAGTAAAACTGGCTTTCTTTTTTTCTCTAGTGCACGGTTGTGAAGAATTCAATTGCTATGAGTATAGCTTATCTTGATTTATGCTAGGGTACCATCAGGTTTTATCACCATTTTGCACCATCAGTGCAAATGTTAAATCAGTGAAAATGCCAAATAACATCTTAGTATTACTACGAAACTATTTTTTTTAAAAAAATATATATTTTATTGATTGTTTACAGGTTGTTTTTTTTTAAAAAATATATATTTTATTGATTGTTTACAGAGAGGAAGGGAGAGGGATAGAGAGTTAGAAGCATCGATGAGAGAGAAATGTCGATCAGCTGCCTTCTGCGCCCCCCACACTGGGGATGTGCTGGCAACCAAGGTATATGCCCTGGACCTGAATTGAACCTGGGACCCCTCAGTCCACAGGCCGACTCTCTATCCACTGAGCCAAACCGGTTAGGGCTGGAACTAGTTTTGAGTTAGCAGGCTTCCGGGAAGTGGCTCAGGCACTCCAGGAGTCTACAGGCCACATTTTTAGAACTGACAGTTGATTTTAGGAGCAGCCCGACATGCTTCCAATAAACTCCCTTTTTCTGAAATCAGCCAGAGTGGGTTTCATTGCCTGTCATCATTGTTCCGTGTTTAAAAAGGTCATGTTTATGGTTGGTTGAATCAAAATGTCTAAGGAACTCTAATTTAAGGGCATTTTGTAAGTAAGTCCTTTGTTGTGATTTGCCGATTGGATAATCAGGAAGAATGAAAGATTCTGTTTTTATTTTTTAAAAATACTCATCCAAGGATATTTTCCCATTGATTTTTAGAGAGAGTGGAAGGGAGGGGGAGAGACACAGAGAGAGAAACATGGATGTGAGAGACAGACATCAATTGGTTGCCTCCTTCATGGGCTCGGACTAAGGCTGGGGATCAGGCCTACAACTGAGGTATGTGCTCTATATCAGAATCGAACCCGCAACCCTTCAGTCTGAGGGCTGATGCTCTATCCACTGAGCCAAACCGGCTAGGGTGAAAGATTCTAAAATTTTACGTTTCTAAAAATACTCAATCTTTATGCTTTCTGTATTCGTGGTGGTAAGTCATTGTTACATAGTCAAACAAATCTATGCTGATCCTTGAATTGCGGCAAAAGAAGGGCTAGAGTACTAACTCATATTTTCTCTGTTCTTATGGCCGCTTCCAATGACCTTTCTGAGCTAAGTGTGACTCTCCTCACTCTAGACATCAAAAAAACACACCTTGAATTTGGTGGTTAAGTCCTTGGCCAAGGCCACTCAGTCAGTGGTCAAACCTCTCTCTCATCTTGACTGAGAGGCTCTCAAACCCAGTACCTCTTTGCTCTACCACATAATACTCTCTGATAAGGACAAAAACATGAACCCGTGATGCGAGGTTTATGCCGTAGAGGCCAGTGCTGCAAAATCATGGACGTCTGAGATGGTTCATTAGGAATTTATTTTGTAAATTGTATCGTGATGACATGATAAAGCTGGCTCTGTACCAAAGCAACATTTTTGACATGCCAGGAAGTGGTATTTTTGAGTTGGAAGAGACTTGAATCATGTGACTTGTCCAAATTTCTCACCACCAGCGCATGCTCACATAAGCAATGTGCATCTTATTTTATTTTATTTGTTTGTTTGTTTTTAAATATATTTTATTGATTTTAGAGAGGAAGGGAGAGGGAGAGAGAGAAACATCAATGATGAGAGAGAATCATTGATTGGCTGCCTCTTGCACGCCCCCTACTGGGGATTGAGCCCGCAACCCAGGCATGTGCCCTTGGCCGGAATTGAACCTGGGACCCTTCAGTCCGCAGGCTGACGCTCTATCCATTGAGCCAAACCAGCTAGGGCTGCAATGTGCATTTTAGGTAGCACTTCCTGGGTGATGACTTCTGATAACCTGATTATTGTTCATTTCATGAAAGAAAAATGTAGTACCTATAGTGGTCACCACCTACTTAGATGCTGGCAGAATCCCCTCTTCCTGATATTCACAGCTTTGGGAAGTCCCTCCCCTTGAGTGTGGACAAGATCTGTGACTTGTCTCTAACCAAGAGAATATACAGGGTGCCCCCCAAAATGTATACACACTTGGAATAATTATTAACTCCAATGGATTAAATCTAAAAAGAAAGAAACACCAATTGAGCTATCAGCTGTTAAAGTGTGTATACATTTTTGAGGGCACACCCTGTCTACAGCAAAGGTGTTGGGAGGTCATGTCTGTGATTGGGTTTCAGAAGATAATGACGTCTTTCTTGCTAGCAGACTCTCTTTTGCCTTACAGATTTGCCTCTTTTGATGAAGCAAGCTGCCATGTCAGAAAAACCCACATGGTAAGGACCTGTGGCCAGCAGCCTATGGACAGCTGAGTCTGGCCATCAGCCACTGATTGGGCATGCAAGCAGACCCTTCCCCATTTGAGTATTCAGTTGAGACCTCAGCCCCAGCTGGCAACTTGCTTGCACCCTTGTGATAGTCCCTGAAGTAGAGGGCCCAGCTAAGTTCTGATGAGGTTCCTGACCCACACCAACTGTGAGATAATATATGCGTGCTGTTTTAAGCTGTGAAGTTTTGGGGTAATTTGTTAGGCAGTTATAGCTGACCAATACACTCTACGATCTTTATTATCTGCCTCTTTCTTTAGCAGGTCCAGGAGCGAGCTCTTTAAGGTCAGTGAGTCCTTGTCACGTGTGTTTATCTGCTTACCCATTCCACCACTGGAGTGTCCCATCAGAATCCATCCTTAGGGTGAAAGGTGGAACCTGCGGCCCACAGTGTACAGAGAAAGTGCTCCAGGAAAGCAGTCTGTGGGCCTCACACTAGAACAGCGGTTCTCAACCTGTGGGTCGCGACCCCTTTGGGGGGTCGAACGACCCTTTCACAGGGGTCGAACGACCCTTTCACAGGGGTCGTTGTTTTTGTGATTAATCACTATATGTAATTACATATTGTTTTTGTGATTAATCACTATGCTTTCATTATGTTCAATTTGTAACAATGGAATTGGGGGTCACCACAACATGAGGAACTGTATTAAAGGGTGGCGGCATTAGGAAGGTTGAGAACCACTGCTCTAGAACCTTCACTTACCATTTAGCTTGCACATCAGTCAGCCAAGCAGTTACTCCCTGGGGTCTGGAACTTCAGCCTGGGCGGGAGACTAGTCATGCCCCAGCTGCTGTCCACAGCGAAGTTATGGATGCCGAAACGCACATCCCAGCCCGGTTCATAAGCAGAGGTGCAAAATGTCTGAAGCCATGAGTTAAAAAACTTTTGACAGAAAGAGGGGAAATGGGGAGATACTGAAATGTATGCAATGCATTGGGCGTCGCGCACCCCACTTCACTGCAGGCCTCAGCGTTCTATCTCCTGTGGAGTGGGGGCTTACATCCAGGTCGCATAGTCCTGGATTCTTAGTCTGGCTCAATCTGGGTCCTAAATCAACTATTAAATGAGAACAAGAGAAATACTTGTCTCCTAAAGGGGTTGTAGGATTAAATGTTAGCCCGGCCCTTACTTCTTCCAGGGATTCTAGGTCCTCAGCGTGATTGGGGCCGCGCGTGAG